AACGCCACCCGGTTGGATGGCGAGCAGAACCTAATTTTTGAGAACCCACAAGGCGCCTTGGCGGGTCTCTGAGCGCCAGCAACCGCATTCCAAAGCTCAGTCAACTGGCCTCCAAAAATGAACTGTCAAAATACTTCTACATGCCCTCTGTGAGTACCGTCAGCCGTGTTTGTTTTATGCCTGGCGGAACCTGAAAAAAGCAAGAAACCCAACACGCTGCGTAACTGCAAAATGACTGCAGACGTTGCATCTGCCCCAGGCCACCCAACCTTTCCAAACACGTAAATCAATTGCACCTGCCAACATCAAGCGCACGCTTGATGGGCATGGTTCACAACCAAGCCGCTCTTGCAACTCTCGTCTGTGAAGTAGATGCCTTGCCCAAACAAGCCACCTTCCCGAGCAAGACGTTCATCAAAACCAAATTGTGCAATTTTGTCCAGATTCTGAAGGGCAGTGCCGTGCAATACCAACATCTCATTGATGCTGGCATCCAACTTTGCCCATGAACAGGCCCCAGACAGCTGAGTGTTCGATTCCATAATGTGTGACTGTGGCAATGATGCCGTCAATTCTCGGCGAATTTGCTCCTGCGCGTGGCCAGGAATGAGATTCGTGCAATCTTGGGGTCACAGACATGGACAAAACCTGGACAAGCGGAGAAAGGAGATACGACAGCACAAGAAAGCAAAGCTCCTGCAATGCACCGTTTCGGCTGGAGATGAACATGTCAAGTAGCGTTGAACATTGCTAGGGCCAAACCACCAAAGAGCATACTGCACGGCTAAAGTACCAAACGCGCAGGTGCAGTAAGACTGCTCAAGATTCTGGCTTTGCACACTCACGCACACAAGCACAAAGGACTCGATAAAACCGGAGTAGCGCACCAACAGTCCAGGTTGGCAACTTTGCCGTTTTTGGAACTCAAAGCAAAGGGCGAAGCTGCTGGCAATTCGACAAAATGATTGACGTCCTTGCGGAACTCGTAACTCTTCCACAAGTTTACATTGTGAAGCTGCTCGACGGACACCACAGTCACGTTGCGCATGTGAGCACACTGGCTGTGATGACCTGGACAATGAGAAACATGGCATGGACCTCCTGCGCCATGAAACACTGTGTTCACAGTGTACCCTCCCTTAGGTTTGTTGACGCAAACATGCCGCCGCCAATTTTGGTGGACCCTCTTCAACCTGCCCTCCCTCTTGTGAGCATGGCTGACGTTCGCGTCAGAGGCTCAGGCAGCGACCTGCAGGACACGTCGCTCGCAGCGCCTCTTGGATTCTCTGATTCACCTCACGGGCCGGATGGCTCAGCTTCAGAAGCTCTTGCAAGCCAAACAAACAGGTTCTCATTCATGCGGCGGTGCAGAATTGATTTGGGGTTGCTTTGACTTTTTTGTTCTGGCATTCGCTTCTCCAGCCACGACGCCATGTCTTGGACAGGTAGGCCATGGACAATGGCAAGGTTGAGCTGAGCACCCATGCGCCAGGATTCCTGGCGCTTTCAAGCAGCAACTGTGTAACTGTCTGGGGCCGGATGGCACCTCCATCCCAAAAAGTAGGGTCATAAAAACGAGCTGCAACAGGGCGAAGTGCCCGAACTCCAATTGAGACCAACAGAAGGCTCAAGGTAAACAATGTGCCACACTCCTGCACAGCCATCTGCTTGCGGTGGTCTGCTCGAGGGGCGCTCAGCTGTCTCTGCAACTCGGCAACCTTTCAGGGGGCCTTGGATGTTGTTTTGTGTGATGGTTCTTCATTTCACTTCAAGCAACGTCCAAAGGAGATTTAACACTGGTACACACGCATATCCACAATCATGACTGCAAGTACCCACAACCTCATGCCCAACATCGCGTTAAAAACAAAAGTGGCCTGCAAGTTTAGAGCGTTGACCACTTCGCGCTGATGCGAAAGATCTCTCTCCATATGAGCAGTCATATGAGCGCTCTGTGATAGCAAGTCACCATTCTGTCGCTGTAGTTCAGCACAATCTGCACGCAGCTGCACCCGGTCTGCTAGTAAATCATTGCGCTCTACAACCAGTGCGTCACGTTCTGAACACAAGTCTCCGCGGTTGGGGTTTTGGCGCCAGGAATTGCTGCCTGAGTCGATGCCAGCTTCGTGCTCCAGAAGCTGCCTTGGCTTTCTGGTCCCAATGCTGAAACACCGAAACTGCCACAAAAGAAGAATAGCGGAAGCTGGAATTCAGCATGCCGGCAAGAAGCGGTCCGGATGCCTGCTTGATTTCTTGACGCCTGATGCGGCGCATGCGGTTGGTGTTCTGGTTCCGCTGCGTCATGGCCTCCAGGTCGATGATGTAGGAGTACCCATTCGTGGGAACCGATACTTCGCTGGGCCCCCCTTCGCTCTGAAGCGACTTGAAACGCGCCTCGAGCACCTGCCATGGCAGGGGTTAAGGCTGAATCAATCAAGTGCAGCCCTACACGCTGAATCAAGGAGAAACCCCTTAGGCTGCAACCACGGTCCTCTTGGACATTTTGCCGGAAAGGCTGCCAGTCCTCGCCACCTCCAGGGCCTTTGGCAAGGAACTCCCAAAAACCTTTGGAGTGGTACTCGTCAGTCACCTTGGATAGCCACGTGACAGAAAGGCTGCATTTGAGCAACACCCGCAACTCAATGGCTCACAAGAAAGACAGATTGAAGAGGTTGCAATAAGAAATGATGGTGACTTTGCCTGGAACCAAACAATTGCGACACAGGACATATAAAGCATTGTTGACATCAGGCTGGTTCCCGCGGAATGTAAATCCTGCAGCAAAGCGTCATCAGCTTCACGACCAATGAATAATCACGAGTTGTTGCCCACGCGTTACTGACTTAACGATAAGTTTGAATCAGCATTGCAAAATGTCCAGCTGAGTGTGGAAATTTGTTCAATGGACGCCCAGGAGCAAAACGAAATACTTTAAAGCTCAAGATTGGCTTCCACACATCTCGTTTCCAGCTAGGTTTTCTACCAGCAAGGAAATAGAAACAAAACTACCGGACAACACTCCCTGAGCCGAGCTGCCCACGTAAAGTTCGTTTGCATCGACACTTCACGGCTTGCCAGGCATCCATAGCAATCCGGACCCCACGAATGCCAGGGCTCTTTCCAGCTGGACTGGGCATGGTACTTCTGCAGGTGCTTCTCGAGTGTGCCCTTGTTGAAGCATTTGTTGCACTGCACGCACTGGAAGGGATTCCCTAGGCTCAGGCTCGGTGACCTAAAAGCAACCTTCCAAAGACTCGCATCTAGAAACCGTCTAAGGTGAGAAGCACCATAGCAGTGACAGCCGAGACGCCGCACCGTTGTCCGGACACCACTACCCCTGCCGCGCAGGCCAAAGCCTCGCAGCACTTGGATAAGATGTAAGCCTTGTTGCCCGACCTGACATAGGTACCCCAGCAGTCCCAGCAGCCGCTGCAATATGCCTTGTTGGTCTCTTCCCGTGGGTCCCAATGAGCAGCTTGATACGAACCGGGCACGACACAGTTGTTCGCCACATCTAAATTTGATCCGATCCAAACGAAGGCTGACTGTTGATCATCCCACTTGATCATGTCCACCGTGTTAATGCCACATCGGCTGCAGCACAGCCCGCTCATGGCAGCTCTCCCAAACTGCCGGATAATAATCTTCGAGCCAATTTCCTGGAGATTGTCAATCAAAATAAGCAGCAAACAAGGCTGAAAACAACTCAGTCCAAATGCCGAAATGTGCTGCTGCAAGTAGCTGCGGGCTGCTGTTTCCGTGCTGTCCTTTCAGCTGGTGATCGTGACAGTGGTACAGTGTTCGGGCGCGAACGACGAGACAAGCATGTGGCAGCGGGAGCGGCCTTCATTTAGGAGGAGTCCCCGTGCTAACGACGTCATTGTCAAATATCCAATTTGAAAGTTGTGTTGAATCCGATGCTTCCTCGGATGACTTAGTGTTGTGCCTGGTACTACATGACGACCGACATGTGCTCTCGGTTCTATGACGTTGCTTACGCATCCATCACTTTCATTCGCTGTCCGCCGGGTTTGAGCCCGTGCCAACGGCAAGGCATTTGTGTAGAATACCAGAACAGTCTATCAGTCCTTGCACTAGTCCGGAATTTGAGGAAAGCTGTCAACACCTGAGCCCGTGTGAAAACATAATTCAAAGGAACGACCCCCCCCCGGAAAAGTTTCCTTTGGCCTGTCAATATAAGCTTGTTTTTGCACACCTGGTATGGACTGCTTTGGTTGCCTACTAAGAGCCCAAACACCTGTCCTGTGGTTGGGCCCTTGTTGCATTCTGCATACGTCATACCTTCACGTGCCCATTCTCGATTTGAGCCTCTGTGATATCTTGGTGCACTGCGAGAGTGCGCCCTTGGACCCGTAGTTAGAATTGCATTTCTGTTTAAGCCTGCAAGATCGGGCGCACGCTGCACTCTGCAATCTTTGGCCTAACAGATTCAGGCACGAGTGGATCTCCGCAAAGCGATGAAGTGAATTCCGCGCTCGAAAAACAATTTGCGAGCGCAGGAGTCACTCACGGCCAAAACGCCCCCGAGCTTGGCTCGCTTTCCTGTTTTTGGGTGTTGTGCCAAACTGCTGGAAAGCAGTGAAGCAGTGACCCAAACGTCTCACCCGGTGTCTTAAAACACTCTCAGCCGCTCGCTGAGGTTGCTTCTAGAGATAAAGGAATTCGGCGTGCTGACGCGCAGACCCTTTGGTTTGCGAACACAAAAAGCCGCCGACGCTCACAGCTCAAATGCCAGGCGTTGCCTTGACCGATTGCCGCTGCGTCCATGGGAAGGCCTTGCGGTTGTACAGCGGCCTCGATCAGCAGAGGTACAGAACGCTTCCCCATGCTGCTCCCAAAGAAAGTGCTGCCAGGCAGCGTGGGATCCACACCGCCGGTGGCTCGACCTTGCTCTTGACCTTAGCTGCTTTGTAAGACACTGGTACGGTTGAAAAGTCTTGAGGCCGTACAAAGCAATAACCGTGTAATGCAGAGGCAGGCACGCTGTCCAGTGATGAGGCTGCCGTTGTTCTCATCTTGCCTTTGGAGCGTGCTGCGAACTCAGGCCTATCGCAACCTTGCATCTCTTCCAGGATCGCCGAATTGGATTGCCAATGGGAGACAGAAGCACAAGTTCACCTCTGCACCCCACCGAAAGCAGCAAGCTGGGCGCTGGGCGGAGGCCGGAAGCCAAAGCGGCCGCTGGGCGAGCGCTTGTCTGGCAGACTTCTTGGCGAGATCGTCTCGCGACTGTGTCTGGGTGTGGTTCTTGCAGGGAGAAAACCGCATTCTCGGGGTCGCCCATTTTTGACACAGACTGAATTTCGGGAGCCTCCCGTCCACTTCCATGATTGTTGGACAGAGGGCAGTGTTCTTTCCATTCCCCACTTTTGCATGACATTCAAGGATTTCTTGCAGATCGTCTGAGTCTAGCCCAGCTTTGTCCAACACTGCGGATCCCTTTAGCAATATGAATGCACCATACCGTATCACCATACCGTATCACCCTGGCATCAAACGTTGGCTTCTCACTATGCCATTCGTAAGGAATCCTCACTGCGGATGGGCCACCTGCCCCTCTGAAAAAAATCTGAAAAATATGTGTGATTGTTTTGTTTGGGGTTGGAAAGGGAACCAAACCCAATTTGGGGCGGAGACAAAGCCACGTGGTGAGGTCGTTGTTTGAACAGAACCTTGGCTGCGCGCATACTTGCCAGAGCCTGGCGGCGCTGCCAGGTTGGCCGGCGCAGCTGGTCTACGGTGCCCCAGCTCCTTGGATGTGGGCGTCAGCTGCGATTGTTGCGTTTGTTTATTTCAAGCCACAAACAGACGACAACTGTGAGACATACCTGTTTAACCACTAAGCAAAACCAACCTTCAAGGTGGCAATGCATTGGCTTTGCATTGCCAAAGCCTCTGGAAGTTGAAGTTCTGGGCCTTTTGGGGGCCGGATCAAAACGAAGATCCAAACGGCAGAAACTGAAGTGACCAGCCATCCAAACGTCAATCTTGGCCTCCCAACGCCCAAGGCGTCGTTCACCACAGCCACGAAGCGCTCTGCCTCTGAGAGGCTCTCCGCATTGCCTCCAGCAAAGCTGTCACTGCTGGCTGCAGTGCATAAGACTGGCAGACGGGCAAATCGCTTGGCTTCCAAAGGACTTTGCAGACGCCATGCCCAGAGCCGCCTAAATCGCGGAACAGGTTGCGTGCTGCCTCCGCAGAGCCTTGGCGAGCTGCGCATATCATTTTCAAGCTCAGTGCTCTGGACATTGGCTATTGTATTGTTCTTTGCCTCTGCAAGCCCTCTCGTCCTAGGAGACCCTGCGTAGTGCCTCTTGCAGTTGTTGGCTGCTTGCCAGCGCGCTGGCAGAGACCAGCAAAGCACTGGCCTGCGCCAATGACTTTGTCGCCAATGGCATCCGTTCCATGCGTGGGCTTCATTAAGGATCCCCCCTTGTCGGTGCGTAAGGAAACCAAGCGGAGGGAGCGAGCAGTCCCGCCTCTGCTGGCTTGTCCCTGGCCTCACAACACAACCGCCACGCAAAACCGAAGCACAAGCGAATGGCGCTCGGACTTCTTGGGAAGCGACGAACAAACATAAAACAAATATGCCTTGTACTTACCAACAGCGCAAACTAATCGGACATATGCTTCCTATATCACCATCTCCCGTATTGATTCCAAGATAAGAAATGTACCAACCTCAAGGCTGTCAAAACCAATGAATTGATGTATTCCAAGTGGTGGTAGCTTCACCCAAAACAAAATGAGGTTGCCGCCCTTTGGCATCCCTTTAAAAGCCCAAAGAGCAAACACGAGACGAGTCTGCAGACTCCGCCTTCCTGGCGGCTGCCAGGTAGTCCTCAGCGACCCGGGCGCCTGGAGATGGCTTCGGCCATGTAGGAATTCTGACGGGGGGATCCCATCTAATATGGTTGGTCCACGGCGGACATCACTTGCCGAATGACTGTCCATGCTGATGATCTGGGTGTGCCTTTGGTGAACCTCCCTTTTGGCTTTAGGAAAGCCCAAAGGCAACCGCCCATAAGGCACCCTTGACACTCTAATTTTGAGACAAGCCCATTTGCTTCCACTCGCACAGCTTGCCTTCCCTCGGATCGCCCTTCCGGATATACGCCCGCGCTAAGGTGTCCATGACCTGATGACTGAGGCGCGTCAAGAGCCGCGGCACGGAAGTCGATTCAGCACCCTCTGAGGGATGCATAAACTAAACCGGGAGAAGTCATAGGGGAGGTTACCCCAAATGTGAAGGATTTCTTGAAAGGCGACGCCGTTCTAACAAACCTGTCAAGGGGTTTATGCATCCTGGGTTGCCACTGCCCTTTGCAGGGGGGAATATACTCTCAAAACTTGCGGTCAGCTACTGAGATGAGCTAACGGGCAACGTATCTTTATCTGGCGATTTGGATTGGTCGTTTGCTATTCTAGATGCTTCGATTTTTGAAAAAATATTTTGCTTTGTTCAGCATGTTTGGGATTTCTGGGGCAAGATCCCTTCACTTGAAGGGATCTGTGAGGCCAGATCCCTTCACCGAAAGCCAATGATTCTGTGTGTGTGTGTTTACCCCATTGTAAAGTTGTGTTCTTCGGGATTTGCGGTGGCCGGATCCCTTCACCTAAAGTCAATTGTTCAAGGTAGTTGCCCCTTTTTTAACATTGTGTGGTGTGCTTTGTTCTGTGGGCGTTGCCCCTTTATAGAACTAGGTTGCGTGTTTTTGCTCAGAATTTTGGGGAATTCACCTAGCAGGTTTAGCACATGTTTATGTTGGTGCATGTGTCAAGCTACTGTATTTGTTCAGAAATGTCCGCCGACCCCTTTCTCCAAAGGGAAGGCGCATGGGAAGGGATTGTCTTTGTCCTTGTCTAAGTGATGATTATTATCATTATTGATGTTGGGTGATGGTTCACATCATCCGAATCGTCATCATTACCGTGGCGCTCTTCTTCTTCATATACGTTTCAAGTGTGCCGTTAGAACCTACTGGAAATGCAGAGGATGTGTTGTGAGGATTGTCATGATAACTGCTGCTGCCTCTGGCGACAATCATAGCTATAACTCTGCATTTATTTGTAAAAGAAGGCGCCTGATGAGGAACATGATGATGCAAATGATGATGATGATGATGATGATGATGATGATGCAAATGATGATGATGATGATGATGATGATGAACACGATGATGATGATGAATAGGATGATGATGAAGATGATGACGATGATGATGATGATGAACATGATGATGAAAAGGATCATGACGATGATGATGATGAACATGATGAACATGATGATGAAAATGATGATGAAAATGAATGATGATGAACATGATGATGAAAATGATGACGATGATGACGATGATGATGATGAACATGATGATGAAAATGATCATGATGGACATGATGATGAAAGTGATGATGGTGGTGTTCATCATCATCATCATCATCATCATCATCATCATCATCATCATCATCATCATCATCATGTTGATCATGTTCATCATCATCATCATCGTCATGATCCTTTTCATCATCATGTTCATCATCATCATCATCGTCATCATCTTCATCATCATCCTATTCATCATCATCATCGTGTTCATCATCATCATCATCAGCATTTGCATCATCATGTTCCTCATCATGTTCATCAAAACTGTGGTGCTCTTCTTTTTCATGTACGTTTCAAGTGTCCCGTTAGACCCTACTGGAAATGCAGAGGATGTGCTGTCATGATTGTCATGATAACTGCTGCTGATGCTGGGGATGCATAGTGATGACGTTAACTGCTGGTGATGCTGAGGATGTAGTGATGATGACCATCAAGATATGATGATGAACATGATGAGGAACATGATCAGGAACATGATGATGAAAATGATGATGATGATGATGATGAACGTGAAAATGATGATGATGATGATGATGATGATGAACCTGATGATGAAAATGATGATGATGATGAGCATGATGATGAAAATGGTGGTGTTCATAATCATCATCATCATCATCATCATCATCATCATCATCATCATCATCATCATCATCATCATCATCCATCATCATCATGTTCACTATCATGTTCATTATCATCATCATCATCATCATCATCATCATCATCATCATCATCATGTTCATCATCATCATCATGTTCATCATCATCATGTTCATGATCATGTTCCTCATCATGTGGCGCTCTTCTTTTTCACATACAGTTCAAGTGTGCCGTTAGACCTGACTTGAGATGCAGGGGATGCGTAGTCATGATTGTCACAATAGCTGCTGGTGATGCCGGGGGTGCATAGTTCATCATCATCATGATCATCATCACCATCACCATCTGATTGAATCCCGAGGAGTTCCTAACGGCTTACTTCTCGCGAAGACGAAGCGATGGCACAAAGTCCACACTTCACATCCACAGCAATACATCGAAGTCTTGAGAAGAAAAAAAGGCCCCCAACATGGTTTTCCTGCCCGAGTTTCCACACACCCGGGGCACTTCTTGTAAAATTCAACAAGGCGCTTATTGTCATGTGAATTTATCCCGAGGTGGCTTGTTTGAGATGCAGGGAATGCGTCGTCATAATTATCAGAACAACTGCTGGTGATGCCAAAAATGCAAAGTAACAATTATCAACATAACTGCTGGCGATAATGCGAATGCATGGTAATAATTATCAGCATCCCTAATGTTGGGTAAAAAATTGCATCATCAAAAAACATCATCATTGTCGTGCTGCTGTTCTTTTTCATATATGCTTTAAGTGTGCCGTTAAACCCGGCAAAAAAATGCGTAGTCATAATTGTCATAACAAGTGCACTGTCAGCAAGCAGGGGCCGGCGGCACAGGGCGGCAGCCCTCAAATATGTTCTTCCCCAAAATACTCCGAAGACCCAGAATAGCAACCAACAATTCAAACTACCAAGTACGCTGAAAGGTGCCATGGTAAGCAATGATAGCACGTTCTTCCATGAGCACACCGGGAGCATTGGTGTCCTTCTTGGTTGGGAAGGGGGGGCTATGCCGCCCAGGCCTCTAGCTCACCTGTGATGTTGCCGTGCTGCCTGAAGAGAGCTCTTGCCCGCAGGGCTGCCCTCAGCGGGGCAACTCGGGGGCACGCCTTGCCGCGTCCGCCAAAGGAAGTGCGACGGGATCTTCCGTGGATCTCCAAGAATCAAGCGTCCGAAGAGTCAAATGAAGACCCGAGCCATACTAAGCGCTTACAAGGATTGCGGAAGGAAGCTCGGAGCAAACACAGCTGTGGTCCTGGGGCGCCAGCCTGACAGCCTCGCTAGGATCCTGCCACAAAGCAGGATGGTGAGATTGTGTCAGGATATGGGGACATCCCAAAAATGGCGGTGCTCCCTTGAAACCAAAGTGAAGCTGATACAATCAAAAAGCGCACACCCAACTTAAGATTTGAAACCCGATGCCCTTCGCTCCAGTCATGCAGCGGGCGCCTGAGAAACAGGGCCTTGGCGGCTCATGCCTTGCTGCTGCCGACCTGAGCTCTTGCGGCCCGCAACAGGCCAGGGTGGTCCTTTTGCCAACTTTTTGGGACAAGGTAACATACTGCAAAGAGGTTCGAGAGAAATCGTTCATTCAAAACCCATACATTTTCCAATCTAGAAATGACCCCCTGAAGCCCCCGCAGCCAAATCCAATCCCAGGGCTGCTGCTCTTCTCCTCGTCGTGATGACCTCACAGGCAAGCTCCCCATTCTTCCCTTCCGGGCTAACCCCTTGCGTCAACATGCTTCAGCCACTATGGCTGAAGCAAAATCCTTCTTTTACCTTCAAAAGAGACTGGGGTCTAGTTGCTTAAACTACTTTCCACCCTGCCTTCCGCAACCCTCCAGGCGCCCGCACGCTGCAAGTAGGCCTGCGCACACAGGTGTTGCGCCGCAGCCTACAAGCGCAAGGGCGCTGCAAATTTGCGGGGTGCAAGTGATGCAAGTGATGCAAGTGATGCAAGTGGGCATGTGCCGAAACAAGGGCACCCGCATGTCTGGTGGATTCACTTTCGGCTTCTTTGTAGGTGTTTCCTTTGGTTGAGTTTGTTCAGGTGTGCCGCGGCCTCTGCTTTCTGGTCCTCCAGCTTCTGGTACAGGGCCACAGCATCCTCGCCTGATACGCGAGCATGCAGTTTGTGCACCTGGTGAATAGAACATGATTGAAACAAAAGAACGAACCCAGATTTTGCAATGTATGAAGTTTGGGTGCATGTGTGCATTTGTGTAGTACTGACTGTAGATTTGGCACACATTGTAAGAATTGACTTGTGATCGCATTCTGTCTGAGCTCTACCGAGACATGTACTAAATGCATTAAGCCAAAATGGGAAACCGCTTCGGAAATCGAAGCAAATCGGATCACCTGTGAAAGCTCACATTCCACCATGCATGTGACCCAAAGTCGGGCAACTGCTTCAAATGACCGCATCGCAAGCGTCAGTGGACGTCCGCTTTGCACGCTGCCAGCCAGCCCCCCGCACCCCCGCCACCCCCCAGCTAAGACCGGAGCCCACATCGATCGCAGTCTTGGCAAGGGCAAACTCAGACTTATCATGTGCGCTTAGACTTGAATAAAACAATGTGCAGCCAAATGGCTCTGGCGTCACCTTTGGCCAGGTAGATCGATGTCAGCAGCTGCTTCGCCTGGAGTTGGGCTTGGGAAGATAGATCCTTGATCCCGGCTGTCAGTGATGGCTTCAAAACAAGGACCCACTTTTTTCCTACATGTTCCGCCCGCCGTAAGCCCGGACCATTGGAGCACAGCAGGTCCAGATGAGATAGAGGACATCTCGGGCAGCCATGCCGCGCCTTGGCTGCAGAGGTCTCCTCTTGCAGCTCGTCGTAGATCTGCGCCATGCCTGACAAACCCAGGCCGCCAAACTGTGGCAGCGTAGCGTCACTTCTGGAAAGTGACAGCGTCACTTGCGGTTCGCAGCGGTTCGCTTGCGATGATTCGAGGCCACGTCTTCATACGTCTTTGGGTTCAAGGCCACGTCTTTGGACAAGATGCCTCGCTCCCAAAACACCAACCGGAGCTGGACCAAGCGCCCGGGCTCTTGGCGCAGTCCAGGGCTTCGTGGAAGTCTCGCTTGGCCAGGTGCACCTGTCACCCCTTCCGATCCTGGCCCAGCAATGCCCAGCAACCACCCCAAACATGCCAAAGCATCCAGGGCTTGGCAAACAAGGGACAAAGCAACAAAGCCACGGTCATGGTCCTTGCTGTTGGGAGCTTCGCTGTGCCCCTGCCTGTGATGCTGCGTCCAGCGCCTCGGCGGCTCGCAGCTTGCGAAGGATGGATTTACTGAAGCGTGGCCTATCGTTGCCTACCGTTTGAGGCTTGCCCGGCTTACCCCCTCATCTCTGTCGCGCGCAGTTTGAGTCAGCGGAAACGCCCTGGCTGTGCCATGGGCAATAGTACAGCTTATGGGGCAAGGGCTCATAGCTCGCTGGATGAATGTCTGAGAATGGTTGTGCGAACCTCAGAAATGAGGCGGCATTGCCACTGACTTTCAGCAGGGTAAGAGATGGCCGACGTCAGTTGGTTCCATGAATTGGCCAAGCTGTTGAAGGGAAAGCTATCGCCTCAAGAGCTCAGAACTCCGGGATCATTCTAGTCACCATCAACATCCTTCATGCAAGGCCGTTGCAGATCCTATCCAAGCCCAAAACAAGGTCAGGCCTTTCACCTGTGCACCAAAATCTGGGTTGGCTTCGTATTTTGAGCTGTGGCCATTGGGAGACACTCACCTGCCCAAATGGGGAAAGAAAACATGTTCACTTGAGGGCTTAGGACTAGAGATACTCAGCAAATGTTCAGTGCTCGGACTTGGATGGCTCAGAAGCTCGGCCATGAGAAAAACGGGGCACCCGCGTTTCGCTCTAGAGGGAAACCCTGCCGAAACAGAAACGCACGTCTTTCCCGGCGCGCCTCTGCCTCTGCCTTGCGGTCCCGCAGCTCCCGCGCCATGCCCCGCGCCTTCCAGGCGAAACGCAAGCAGCGCCCCCGCGCCCCCACGCAAGTGACGCACCGAGGCGAACGAATTTGGGGAGTGGTTTCGTCCGTACAACTTCAAATGCAAACCACACATTTCGGAGGCACCCTCATTTAGAGACACACCCAAATTGGCGTCGACACAAACAACTGCCAGGGCGGATGGTGGAGGAAGCAAATACCAAAAGCAAACAAATGATACAATCGCCCCGATGGATTGGGATGCCACAAAGAATGCAGTGTCTTGGTTTCCATTGGGACAACCCTCGCTCCTTTGATCTTGCACTTCCGTGCTCAAACATGGATTCTGACAGAAGGCCTTTACAAGGACAATCTATTCCTGCACCCTTCAACCCCTCTGCCTCCACAAGCAATAGTTCCTGCAAGTTGGAGGAATGGAAAGCAACTTCAAGAAACTATTCCTTTGAGGCCTTTCAGATGCCTCCGCAGCGGGAAACCACGGATCAAGAAGGGCCGACGGCATTTGGACCAGCAGCTATACTCAATGGGCTGATCCCCTGACAAGTAGCAATCAGCCCACTCGGGGTGCTTTTTTTCCTAGCGCTGCTTTTTCCCAAGGGCTGGTTTTCCGCAGGGCTGGCAACATCCCCAGCATCACCAGCATGGGAGTTGCCTATTGGCTCTGATTGGGAGGCAGTTGTGAGTTGCTGGGGGCTGGTTTAAGTTAAGTGTGGGTAGGCTGGTTTGGATCTTCATTCGGGTGGGTCTTGTGGTGGTTTGGGGTTGATTCAGGGCTGACATCCAGGCTGCTGTCGGGCGGGTTTAGGGTTGACTTTGGGTGGATTCGGGGTGGGCTTGGAGCTGATTTGTGTTGGGTGTGCTGCTGGCATAACAGTGCCTTTAGGGTTGCTTCAGGAATGTTGTTGTGTGAGTTGTGAGCAAGTTTTGGTGCTTTGAAGCAACGCTCCAAAACCAATCCTAAACGAGGCCTACACTCACGTAACCACATCCCAAAAGCAACCCTAAAGGTACTGCTTAGCCAGCAGCACACCCGACACAACCAACCCCAAACCACCACAAGACCCACCCGAATGAAGATCTAAGCCAGTCTACCCCCCCACCTTAACTCAAACCAGCCCCCAGCAACTCCCAACTGCCTCCCGATCAGAGCCAATAGGCAACCCCCAGGCCAATTTGCCGGGGATGCGGCAAGCCAGCCAGCCAGCCAGCCAGCCAGCCAGCCAGCCAGCCAGCCAGCCAGCAAAACAAATGGTTCTAGGATTTCTTGAAAAAAAAGAAAGCTCAGGTGATCTCCCAAACAGCATGCGGTGCTCTTTTTAGTGCTCGCACCACCCCGCAGTTCTCGCAGAACCTCGTGCAACCCTCGTGGAACCCTGGTGAAACTCTGGTGGAACCCTGGTGGAACCCTGGTGGAACTTTGGTGGAACTGTGGTGGAACCCTCGTGGAACCTTACCTCAGGGCCGCCCCGGACTACCCCAGAGCCTATCTGGGCTGAGACCCCAAAGCTTTCAGCTGTTGGGGGGGAAAAAAAACACGGACCCCCTGTGAAAAGAAAATCAAAAAGAGCATTGTTGAAACAAATCCACAATTGAGTTCATGAAGTGAAGCTGCAACCAACAGTGCACAGCACACAAACACATAGGCGAACGAGACTCGTACAGCGACGTGGCATCTGCGTCGTGGCTAATGTCTATTCTAGCGGCCAAATTTGCGAAGCACCCATCAACTCAATGCGTTGGAACATGCTTCACAAAACTGGGAACCCCCTAAAAGACGGTGGGTGTCATGAGTCATGAAACCTCCGAACCCCAAAGCAAAGCATCAAAACCCCCCAAGAAGGCCTCCCCCCCCTGCGTGAACGAGCCCATGCCACTTGCCTCCTTGGCCGCCCGCAAGGCAGAGGCGGGGTCGCCGCCCAGCAGCTGCGCCTTCACGGCCTGAGCAGTCCACGCCTTTGTTTAGCTCAAGCGAAACATCTGGAGGTCACTTGGCAT